ATTCTCTACATCTTGGCTGTTTTCACTTTATTCCAAGCAGGTTTATCTATTTGCTGGTCCCGACATGCCTCTCTCTTCTGCCTCCACATCTTTGTTCAGCCTGGTTGCCCCTGCCTGGCCTGCCCTCTGCTACCATTTCCTCTGGAAACTTCCATGCATCTTTTCTAGTTTCAGTTCCATCTGAGGGCTTTTGTGAAGCTTTCTCTGACTACAATGGCCCTCCCAACTCTGAGCTCATAAAGTCTCTTCCACGGGAAAATAGGAGGTGGAAACCCCCAGAGTCCCAAAATCTTTTTCCCCCCTGTGGCCACTGTTAGACGTAGTAGAAACTAAGAAGTCAGGCAATAATGTGCTGGAAGAATGCAAGTCACGTGTGGCCAAAGAGTGGTTTCCCAGTGGACTGTCCCTAAGCTCCCCGGACTATGATCTCCACGTCATCTAGAGGGGTCACTTGCCCTTCCAAAAGTCAACTCCCTGGTGCCTTACTCAGGAGCAAGTACCTCCTAACAGAAAGTGGTCAATGAGTTCATTGATAAATTCAGGCACCCTGGGGCTTCCTGACGCCCACCTGAGTGGCTGCTGTTCCTATATGCCCATGGGCCCACCTCCAACTGCCCCGACATCCACTCGGTGCAAACGAAATTGAGCCATTCCTCTCTTAAATGTAGGCAGCTATGAGCAGGGCTGCCAAGGACACAGCCAACTCCTTAGCATGTCACCCAGGACCCTTCACAATCTGGCCCTCACTCCCTTTCTAGGCGCTTTTTAATGGCTGTCACCTCATGATCTCTTGGCATTCCTCAAGCCCACTGTAATCTTCCCTGCCTCTTCATCTCTCCTCTACTTAGAATGTCCTTTTTTAGCCTCTTTACCTAATGAATCCTACTCATACTTTAAAACCCAGTTCAGATGTTGCCCCCTATGAAGAACCCTGCCAACCTGTCATGGTGTACTCCTGGTTCTCCCATCAGCCCTCTATTGTCAAGCTCTCCACAGTACAGCCAGTATGCCTACTGGCCAGACCACCCAGTGCCTGCTTACTTAGGATTACTCCTCTCTCTCCCACAAGACCGTAAGCATTAGGAGGTCAAGGATGATTTTGTTACCCTTTATCTGTCCAGCAAGGTGTTTGATAACCAACACATTTTATTTAAAGAATTGATGAAAGAAAACACAAATAAATGAGTGAAGCTCTTTCTTTTTTTTTTTTTTTTAAGACATTTATTTATTTTGAGAGAGAGAGCACAAGCGGGCAGGGCAGAGGGAGAGGGAGAAAATCTTGAGCAGACTCTGGGCTGAGCACGGAGCCCGACATGAGGCTCGGTCGTGAGATCGAGATCATGACCCTGAGCTGAAACCAAGAGTCAGACGCTCAGTCGATGGCGCCACCCAGGCGCCCCTGAATGAAGCTCTAAGGAAAGATATCATCCTTCCCAGCTTTCCCATCCAAAATGCCTGGTATCTACTCTTGGTAGGTATGAGTTGGTGCAGAACTAGACAGGGGCACAGAGCCATGTTTGCAAAAGACAGGCAGTCTTGGAGGTAGCAGAGGAAAGTACTTGTGTCCAGATGAACAGCTCCCCCAGAAAACCTCATTCAGAGGGGTCTTTCATTCCTGTATTTCTTGTTTACACTCTCCTAGTCTCCCATACAGGTTCCATTTCTAATGAAATTTGTTAAGTGATATTCTGCAGAAATGTCCTAATTATTTTTTAATTTACTAAGTAGCTATCAAGCCAGGCTTGAAAAACCCCATACCCAGTATGGTAGTTGCTCCGTGAAGCACCCTCCCCAGGATTTTTCCCTCTGGTAATTGCCATTTTCACCTTTAGGCCTGGCACAGGCTTCCTGCCCACTGGTTTATTTTTTAGCTAATTTGGTTCCTTTACATCATATGACCTTCAGTGACCCATATGCAATAAGGGAATCATCCTACTAGGACTGTCTTTAGAAGGTTCACAAAGGTATGCTAAACATAAGCAATATATCAACTTTTAAAACCAGGCAGAATGAGTCTGTATCATAAGTCCCAGGAAAGCCTATTATGTTCTTTTAAAAAGAGAACCAAAGAGCTTCTTGATCTCTGCCATTTTCTGTAGGAAAATGTCTCACCAAGTACATCCCTTCCCATGCATTTGTAGTGGGTCATTTGTGGGGTCAGAGAAAGATACTGAAAACTTGCCCAAGCTGTTTAGCTCATATTTATTAACAGCTTAATACGGACCCGGAGCTGTGCCAAGGCCTTTGCATGCCTTGTGTAATCTTTCCCCAACTCCTGGAAGGTTTTTATTCTGATTCTGCAGCTGAGGAGCTTGGAACACAAAGAGGCTGATAACTTATCCCAGGTCACATAGCTGTGGATGCCAGAGTCAGCTTTTGAAGTCAGGTCTGCTGGCTCCAGAGCCTGAATGTGTAACCATTACTCTGAGCTCCAATGCATGTTCCCTGATTTCGTGTTCAAGAAGAGTTTTTCCAATATGTGGAATTCCTAGACAGCTCTCCAAGGGAAGATCTTACTCCTTTCAGCATTTTACACTATATTCATATGATCTTCTCTTTAAAAGAAACTATAAAAAATAAATAAATAAATAAATAAATAATAAAATAAAAAATAAAAGAAATGATAGTAATTATTCAAAAAATAGGATTCGAGTAATCATCATATACAGATATGCAAGCCTTTCCTAACATTTTTTAAATAACACAAGTCCCATGAGAAAAAGATTATTTGTGTCCGCTTGGCCCACATTTTAATTTTTTTTTTTTTTTGAGAGAGAGAAAGAGCATGCAGGTATTGGGGGCAGAGGGGCAGAGAGAGAGAGTGAGAGAGAGAATCCCAAGCAGGCTCCATGCCTAGCATGGAACCCAACGTGGGACTCGATCTGACAACCCCAAGATCACGACCTGAGCCAAATCAAAAGTTGGATGCTTCACCAACTAAGCCACCCAGGCATTCTGGCCCACATTTTTAGATTTTGGTATTAAATGCCTTCAGTGGGTGCAAAATGAACAACTCCCTTTGTCATTCATTGGAAACAGACATTTGCATTCTGCATTCCACTGCCCACCACCGGACAGATGTTTTTCACAAGGGACCTCATTCAGTTCTCAAACATTTATTAAGCGTGTCCCCTACATGGGACAGTTGCTGGGCAGTATGGGCAAACAGCAAGGAAGAAGATATGGCCCTGGCTTTATAGAAGTTCACAGTCCAGCAGTTCACCCCTTTGAGGAATTTGAGGTCCACAGAAAGACCATAACATCAGGTCCACTGAAGTCCACAGACAAGAAGTTCAGGAGAGAAATAAATCATAACCACCTTGGAAAGTATGAGTTTTCTTTATTGGAAAAGTTCTCAGAGGCCAATGTCTCACCTCCAGCTTCTTTCATTAGTGCTTAGGGACCAGTATTGGGAGGACCAGGCCAAGGGTAGGACTAGGGTGGAAGAAGCCACAAGCTAATTGCAAAGAACAGAACTCAAGAAACATGAGGGTTGCCTCTGAGAATCCAGCAGCCTGACTGAAAATGGATTAATTTTTATTTCCAATGGGTGTTAGAACAGGCAACATATGAATATTCTGAAACAAACTGAAGGTCAAGCAATACAAAGTGTTAGTGAGCTTTCCTTCCACCCTCAGAGGCAGCCTCTCTTACCTTGTTCTCAGGCTCCTTCAAAAGAGAGTTCTGGGGGCACCTGGGTGGCTCAGTCGTTAAGCATCTGCCTTCAGCTCAGGTCATGGTCCCAGGGTCCTGGGATGGAGCCCCGCATTGGGCTCCCCACTCTGCGGGAAGCCTGCTTCTCCCTCTCCCACTCCCCCTGCTTGTGTTCCCTCTCTTGCTGTGTCTCTCTCTGTCAAATAAATAAATAAAGTCTTAAAAAAAAAAAAAAAAGAGAGAGAGAGAGAGAGAGTTCTGTGTATTTATGAAGTTCATAATGCCTTCAGCTTCTGGGCCACACAGGGCCAAGTTAGTGGCCCATCCCCAAGACCTGGCCCTAGGGATGGGTCAGGAAATTGGGCAGTGTAGAGTTAAATGAGGGAGAATTGCTCCAGGCCTGGTCAACTCAGGGGCACTGCCCAGTTGACCACTTGTTGTGTGCTTGGACAAGGACAGGGAAGGAGAAGCCAGGCCCTCCACACTCACAGCTCACCTCACAACTGTGCTAGGCACTGCCCACCCTTTAGAGAGAAACAAGGTATGTGGTGGGCATAGGAAGTGGATAGGGGAGAGATTCTGGAAAATTCTAGGGAGGTTTTAAGCGCTCATAAGGCAGGCTGGCCCAGCAGCTGTTAGGGCCTCTTGGCTGGGGTGCTGGCTTGCTGGGGCACGTGCTACCCTGTGGGGCCCAGGGCGGTGCCTCAGTGATGAGGAGAGAAGCTTTTAAATGTCTGTCTTCCTAAAACCACTCTGCCTCTAGGAGAAGCTCGCAGCTGGTGTATAGCCTCCACGACAGCAAGTCCAGTTGTTTATCACCCTATCCTGTAATATATAAAGTAATGAACGGTCGGTTGAAACAAGTTTGGGCTTCTGTCTCGCCACGGGCACCTCCTCGCGCGAACCCTCACCGGGGGAAGCCGTGGACGTGGGCTGCAGCCTTCCAGCCTCAATTCCCTCCCTCTGCCACCCCTCTTCCCTCCTCTCTCTCTGCCCCTCCCCCTGCTTATTTGGGAGATTAGAGTTCATTAATTAAATCCTGTGCTTAGATCGAACTGTAACATTATTCCAATCACATTTATCTTACAGGCGGCGGAGGAGATGGCAGCCTCGCTGGAAACGCGCGGGGGAGCCTGAGCAGGCGGCCGGGGACGCACAGCGCGGCGCGCTCCTTCGCCACGCCGCCGCGCAGACCCTCCATCTTCCTGCCAGCCTCCTGGCCCCGCTCGGCCCTGCCTTGGGGGTCGGCTTCTCTCTAGGGCTCCTGCCCTTCCCCCCCCCCCCCCGGGCCTCCGCGGCTCCCCTGCCCGGTCCCCCTCCCCCGCCACACACGCTGACACGCGCGCGCGAACACACACACACTCACACACACTGACACGCCAGCGAGCTGCTGGTCGCTCAATGGACCGATTTCCCTGCTTCCCCTGATCCCAGCCCAGCCCGGGATGAGAAATTGCAAAATGGCCCGGGTCGCCAGTGTGCTGGGACTGGTCATGCTCAGCGTCGCCCTGCTGATTTTATCGCTCATCAGCTACGTGTCCCTGAAAAAGGAGAACATCTTCACCACTCCCAAGTACGCCAACCCAGGGGCGCCCCGAATGTACATGTTCCACGCGGGATTCCGGTGAGTGCGGGCCTCTATTTGAGCGCCCTCGGGTATCTGGTTTATTGGGGGGGGGGGGGGAGATAACAGGGTGGTGTTTTGGCTTCTCTGAGACACTTTGGGCAAGATAATTGCGTGGTCCTTCCACTCCTCTCTCTGATTCTCCCTTCCCCCTCTCCTTTATTTTTTTTAACCCAAAGCCCCTAAAAGCCGTTGTCCTAATCGATGTGATTGCATTTCTCGTATTCTTCCTCGGCATCCCTTCCCCCATTTCAAAAATGGGGGGAGGGTTTAAGGAGAATGATGATGTAGGGAGAGGCGAGGTGTGGGGGGGGTGAGGAGGGGGCGCTGAACCGGGAGATGGACGTGCGTGAGGTGAGCGCCTTCCCGGTGCAACGTCCGCAGACTCCGCGGCCGGACTCCCGGCGGTCCAGGGCCGATTTAATGGCGCAGGCGCTGGACTCCCCTTGCGCTGTCCTCACTCCTCTCCCCCACGCCCCACCCCATCAAATGATGCCGCGGGTCTATTCTCCTGAAGCCCCTGGGGTATTTTACCTCGATCCTTTCCCCCGCTGCCACCCCCACCCCTTTCCGGGATTTCTGCAATTCCTCCGCCCTCTGCGGGAAGCGAGCCTCTTAAGGGCCGCCTACCCTCGCCCCAGGTCCAATTCACCTCCGGGCGAGGGGCTGGACTGGGAAAGAGCCAGACGCAGCTTGGCGCAACTCATCGAGAACCCCTGCCTCTACCAGTGACATTTAGGAGCTCTCCTAGGAGGACCTCCTGAGGGGCAGGTGTCAAATACAATCTGCAACCTGTGGTCCAAGCGGGCCGGAGGTGCGGAACCTAGAGAAGCCCCCCCCTCCACCCGTCCGCGGGCAGAAGAGTGGAGGTGGCCTGTGGCCTCCGGGGGTCCCCAGTCAGGGGACAGGGAGTAAAGCCAGACTAGGCTCGGGAAGTAAGAGGTTAAGGGAGGAGCCACCCCCCAGTTTTCCCCTGGGTCTCCGGTTTCCTCTGCCCTTTCTCCAAAAATCAATTCACCCGGACAGCCGGGGCGTCGCGGGTCGGACTAGCGGAGGCACGGCCGCTGTCCGCGGTGCTGACTCCCTGGTCCTCACGGCGCATCAGGCTCCAGCAGTGCGCCGGGCTCCCGCCCCTGCTCTCCGCGAGACGGCCATTTTATGGTCTCTCCCGCACCGGGAGGGATGGACAATGGAGGCGGATTTCCCTAGTTTTCTTTTTGCCCCTGGGTGTGTGTGGGAGCGGAGAGTGGACCAAATGAGAGAGGCTCAGGCGGGATGGAGTCAGTGCGTGCGCCAGGTGCCCCCCTCCCCCCCAAGTCGCCTGGGCTTTAATGGCTACCTTGGCTTCCCCTAGCTGAGGCCAGCACTTTTGTCTGTGTACTCATGCTCCTCTCCAGGTCACAGTTTGCGCTGAAGTTTCTAGATCCGTCATTTGTGCCCATTACGAATTCTCTGACCCACGAACTCCAAGAGAAACCTTCTAAGTGGACATTTAATCGGACAGCGTTTTTACATCAAAGGTAGGATAGGGGGAAAAGGTCTGAAAGGTGTTTTTGAATTCTGGAGTTCAAAAAACAAAACAAAACAAAGTGATCCAAAACAACGAAAATCTATCCCCCACCCTCAGGTGTTATTTGCATTGTCCTCTCGGCCTGACTGCACAAAGGCTGATTGGTAACCCTTTCTTATGTATGTAGTGCACTCACATAAAAAGAAAACATCAAGAAGACCAACTGAATGGAAGAGAAAAAGGTATTTCCAATATCCACCCTAACTTGGGCTTAATTGAGAACAATGATTTGTAGTTAACATGCATGGGTAACACTGCCAAAGCCATCTACTAAAAATAAATAATTAATTAATTAATTAATTAATTAATTAATTAAAAAAGTTAATTGCATCAAGACCATGCAATAATGCATTTCATTCTCTGAGAAAAAAAAATTTTTTTAATGAAATAAAATAGAATTGTCTCACCCTGAAATACACAGCAAGTACTGTACTCCGCCCCTATCAATTACTAGTGAAAATCTTGGCCCAAATATATGCAGGTATTTAAGCATGGTTTTGTTTTGGTTTCACCTATTTTTTTCATTAAACCTTTACAGCCTTTAACATACTGTAAAAGCTACCCAACATCATTTTTATAGGTTGTCTTGTAACAGCCTTGTTTATACGTGAGGGAGTTTATGTGTATGTATGTATGGGGTGTGTGTGTGTGTGTGCGTGCGTGTGTTGGGGAAGAAGGATGAGATTTATTCAAATTTATTATCTTGAGTGATTCTGGTCTACTCTTAGCAACCCCAGATAAGTCCTTATAATCCTTCCTTCTTGGTGGGATTATTATGCTGCTAAATGGAATGTGAGCCATCTAGTGTATTCATTAGGGGTGTGAATACTTATTTTACACATACTCATTTTACCACTCATGTACAGGGTTGTGTTTGGTCTCAGCATTTCTAGTTACCACACTCTTTATTATTTTAAGCTAATGACGGAATTAAAACAAAGTCACTAGGTATCTATGGTGTCATGAAAATGTTGTTTACTTGAAAAGCTGAAATAGTCATGTGATTCGTATTAAAATTTTTAAAACTGTTTAATTAGAAATTACTCCATGACAATAATTGATTAATATGAAAACCACAGAAGTGCCTTTCTTTTAAACTATTGGGTTTTTAGTCCAATATTAATTTTATAGACAACCCGGAAATATTTAATGGTAGTATGCATTATACCTTCCCCAAAATATGTTCCTAACTGAATAAAAGTTTCCTTCCCAGACTAGGCCATGTGACCCAAATGACCAGTCACAACAGTATTTTTTTCTCAAAACTTACCTCCTTTCAATCCACTTATTAAGTAGTCTTTAATTAATTTTCCCAGTATCATTTTAAATTTTCTTTTATAACAGGTAAAGAATAGTTTGTAAAGAACAGCATTGGTAACTTTGGAAGTTTTAGATGATGTTGCTTTATACTTTGACAAATGAAGTAATTTTTTAAAATAAAATTCCAGGTAAAGTGATGATATACACAACATCTATTTTCTTTTTTTTTTTTTAAGATTTTATTTATTTATTTGAGAGAGAGAATGAGAGACAGAGAGCATGAGAGGGAAGAGGGTCAGAGGGAGAAGCAGACCCCCCGCTGAGCAGGGAGCCCGATGTGGGACTCGATCCCGGGACTCCAGGATCATGACCTGAGCCAAAGGCAGTCGCTTAACCAACTGAGCCACCCAGGCGCCCCCACAACATCTATTTTCAATCCTGCTATTTTTTAGGCAAAAGACACTGGAAATTCACAATGTGATTTCTTAGAATTAATAGCGAAGTAACATGTTACTGGTCTTTCTTAAATATTTTAAATAGCTGAAGTTTAAGAGGAAATGCTTAATTTTACTTAAAGCTCAACATGAAAGTAACCTGAAATTAGTGCTAAGTATCACCCTTGCCTTGTTTATCCTCTGAATTCTTACAATATACACACATTTCCAGGGTTTACCATAGCCTCTTTTTCTAAGGATTAAGTTACTCCAACTAAATTGTGTTTCTATATAATCAAGTAGAAAAATACTCCCATTTCATTATTCAAAGGACCTTAATGAGATTATCATCTCATTTCTATTAAATATTCAACTACACTCACTGATACTACCATTTCCATATTTTAATAATAGATAGTACTATACTAACTCATATCTATTTGGCTCTTATTTGGACACCAGTGATATTTGATATTCCTTGAACACTGCAGTCCAATAGCAAACAAGTAGTCCCTAGTTACAAACTCTAAGTCACCAATGTTTGTGCATTAATGTGAGCTCTTTGGAGCCTGTGTAAATTGTCTCCCTGTATTTTCTGACATAGTTCGGCCTATGCCTCCCCTTGATCAAATACACTTTTCATGTAGAACAGAAAACCAAAGAATGGCAGCTAAAACTGTGAGTTACAACATTTATAAGCCTTGAAGGATTACATCCAGAACTTGGCTGAGAAATTAGCACATCCAGAACTTGACTGAGAAATTAGTCTGTAGATTCTGAAGCAGTCCTTCCCCCAACAACCACAATTATTATGAATGTATAATCTTTTTTTGATACAATGTTCCTATGATTCTTGTCTGAATGAAATGGCAGCATAAGACATAAGATGGAAAGTCAATTCTTTTGAATGGGATGCATTTAATGAATTTCTTTTCATTTTAGGCAAGAAATTCTTCAGCATGTCGATGTAATAAAAAATTTTTCTTTGACCAAGAATAGTGTTCGGATCGGACAACTGATGCACTATGATTATTCCAGCCATAAATATGTTTTCTCTATTAGCAATAACTTCCGATCACTGCTTCCAGATGTGTCACCCATTGTGAATAAGCATTTTAATATTTGTGCTGTGGTTGGAAATAGTGGGATCCTGACAGGGAGCCGGTGTGGACAAGAAATAGATAAGTCAGATTTTGTTTTCCGTTGCAATTTCGCCCCTACGGAGGCTTTCCAAAGAGATGTTGGAAGGAAAACCAACCTCACCACCTTCAACCCCAGCATTCTGGAAAAATATTACAACAATCTCTTGACCATTCAGGACCGTAACAACTTTTTCCTCAGTTTAAAAAAGCTCGATGGGGCCATTCTTTGGATCCCTGCATTTTTCTTCCATACTTCAGCAACTGTTACCAGGACATTAGTTGACTTTTTTGTTGAACACAGAGGTCAGTTAAAGGTCCAATTGGCTTGGCCTGGAAATATAATGCAACATGTCAACAGGTGGGTATATTTTATTGCCTTTAAGTCTTACCCCACCAGATGGCAGATCAATATTGTAATCTCTTGGGGGTGGGAGGTATCCAATTAGTTACTTCTTGTGGTTAGCTTAGCAATTTTGGGCAAACTCTTATGTTTTTGTAATGAAAGAATGAAGCATTCTAGGTAAGAAGTTCAATCTTCTACCCCCTGCTGGTAACAGAGTGCCAAATGGGGGGATTGGTGTTTCATCAGCCTCCCCTCTCTATTCCCTGTCTCCTTCCTTGGTGATAAGCCTAACAGGCAGTCATGGAAATCACCAAAAATCAAGAATTTTCTTTAAATGGATGGCTAGGTCCCCATAATGCCAATGGCGGAATTAGACAAACCAAGCAGTTTTCTAAAAAGATGCAATTGACTTAAAATGTCCCTTTTTATTTGATATTTGGGAGTTTTGTCAATGTCCAAAATTAGAAAACCACCTAGGTAAATCATAAATTGTATAATTGGCCTTTATCATTTGGGATTTTAGTGCCAAAACATGTGAAGGGTATTTTATTAGCTTGTTGTTATCCCTTATAATTTGATAGAGAGATTGACCAGAAATGCAATATTTTCATCTATTCTGATGAGTCTTAATTCTGGCTATACATTAGAATCACCTGGAGAACTTTAAAAAATACTGTTGCCTGGGCTCTACTTTAAGGGATTCTAATGTAATTTATCTGGAGGTGGGAAGGGAAGGGCCCAGGTACCTGTTTTTCTTAATAACTCCCCAGATGATTCTAATATGTAGTCAGAATTGGGAGCCACTAGTCCAGGGCATTTTATAAAGCAAAATTAATTGTAAGATTCATTTTTCTTTATATCATCTGGGGAAACTGCCTCAACTCTAATTTCCTCTATGCAAGTAGCCTCCATGCCCTAACATACTGTCCAGATCATCCTACAAGTTAAAGTGGGTTCTGGGAGGACTGGTAATCCTCTAAAGTCTCCCAAACTTAAGATCTGTTTAGTTGACCTCTCATAGAAGGAGGAATCACCATCTAATAAAGTAGTATGTATCTAACAGGTAGGGTTAGGACCATAATGTATAGCCCAAACTGGAGCTTTGTCTTTGAGAGAAAGAAGGTGCTATTAACAATGACAGCAGGATAACAAACAAAATTGGGAACTATCCTAGTTTCTCAGGATGTATGGTCATCTTTTTGAGGGGTAATGTAGCCCAACTCCTAAGTTTAAAGATGAGTCAACTGAGGTACAAAGAAAGGGAGTTATTTACGCAGTGTCACTGCCCAAAATGGGCAAAAACAGAATTAGAAGCCAGGCTTCCAGCTAACCTGTCCTCCTGTGGTCTTTGACCTCCTTATTTTGCTCCCCTCTTGCTTTATTTAAGTTCAGCCATGCCAAAAGAATTGTCAGAAGTCATTCTAACTCCTTAGGTAAGAAAACCAAGACTAAACTTTTAAATTTCAACTGGAATGGGGAAAGATCTATGTGTAGTAAAGAAGGAACTACCCGTGCTTTGTAACTTCAGGAAACTGGCCTGTGTGGCCTACCCTGCCCCAGTTTTTCTGAAGGGCCATGGAGTTAGCCATGATGCCGTGATGCTTCACAGCCACTCAAGCTTGAACCAAACACATTGGTTCAATGAAAACTCTAAGGAAATGTAGTCCGTAGAAACTTGATTCATGAAGAGTTTAATTTTGCTGCATAGCCAATGATACACAAACACACACACACACACACACACACTCCCTGCAGTCTCAAATATGTGGTAGTATAGGTAGGAAGGCTTCAAATTACTGTCCAAATATGAAGGAAAAACAGCCATAATTTAGCATTTTTTTAATTCAGAAAATGTTTAAATACTTTTCTCAGGCCCTGCCATGCTAAAGGAGCGCTCAGGACCCCCTAGCTAGACACCAATGGAACAGGGAGTATGACCTTTTACAAGAAGGTACAGAAAAATAAGTCCCCACACTCTCTCCAGACCAAAGAAGAAGGATTTAATCTCTAGATGTGGGTAAGAAAGTGACACAGGAGGTGCCCATAGAGTAAACGACCTCCTCCCTACTTCCCAGGGCCCTTTGTGTATGAGAAGCAGGGTCATTCTCCCTGCTGGCCTTCTGTGGTGTCACCACCCAGCCAGAGCCACCTCACCTTAGGACAGCCGAGAGGCAGGCTGGCATCGACCATGCACAGCCCATATGGTCACCCGGAAGCTGTGCTCAGAAGCCTCCAGTGCCTGGTTTAATGCTCCGCTATCACCCTCTTGAAACTATCAGTGAGTTTTGAAGGAAGGGCCCACATTTGCGTTTTGCCCTGGGTCTCACAAGTTATGTTCCCAATAGTGCCCTGAGTTGTTCTGTGGTCCAAAAGATAGATTCAAAGCCAGTACTGTTTGCGGGGGAGGAGAAAAAGGCAGGTACTCTTTAACTTCCATATACAAATCCACCTCCCGGCCCAGGCACGGTGACCTTATCGGATTGAAACCAACACTGGCCTCTGAATCCACATGTACTTATTATTCCGCAGGTACTGGAAAAACAAACATTTGTCACCCAAACGGCTGAGCACAGGTATTCTTATGTACAGCCTTGCATCAGCAATATGTGAAGAGATCCACTTGTATGGATTTTGGCCTTTTGGATTTGACCCCAACACAAGGGAAGATCTTCCATACCATTACTATGACAAAAAAGGAACCAAATTTACCACCAAGTGGCAGGAGTCACACCAGCTGCCTGCCGAGTTCCAGCTGCTGTACCGAATGCATGGGGAAGGGCTCACCAAGCTGACTCTGTCACACTGTGCCTAAGACTTTGAACAGAAAGTGCCAAATGGCCATTTAAAAAGTGCCCCAAATCAAATGGAATAGTCTTCAGAATAGAACCCTAGAGAATTCCTTATAAAGATTGTCTGCCATTTAAAAGGAAAGATGTCTCTCCCTCTTTTGCACTGCTCTTTTAAGGGTCTTGGCAAGACAAACGAAGCCACACGACTCAAACTTGATTGATAAAGGGAATGTTGCATTTGGAACTATGCTGCTAATGAAATGGTTTGAAGTATTTTCGTGTTTGTATTTTGATAATAAACTGCCTCCCGTTTTTTATGAGGACTAGAGCTGTAGTTCCCGCAGCTTTGAGATACAGTCCTCATAGTCACAGGCCTCTGGCCAGTTTGGGCAGGATTTCAGTTTTGCCTGGGTGGGATCAGACTCTTCAAAACGGAAACAAACAAAAATCGTTGGCATATCTCCTCTCTCACTCTCTCTTTTCTCCCTGTCGTTCTCGATCTCTTTCCCTACAACCCCCTGCCCCACCACTGTGGAGTTTAATAATTTGCTAGGAATCATATTAAATTAGCTTTGCTTGTATGTGTTGCATCTGTACTCGTCTGATGTGTTCAAGGCTCTGGGTAACTTTGATGTTTCATGACAAACTGACCAAATCATGATGGGTCCCCTTAGGATTTCTTTTATAAGAAATGCCTCTTATGAAGTTCTCACTGGTCCGCGCAGTCATTCTACAGCAGAACGGTCCCTCTGTGGTGAGTGGCATATACTGCAGTGCATCTTTCACTAATCACAAAGAAAATTTTTGTCATGGGTGGCATTGCATCTTTTGACATGAGTGCTATTATGGCAAATCATTCTATTGCCACATCTGCAAGAGTATTCCAGCCTGAGTTTAGTGCCTCCCACAATCTCAACCCAAGCACTGGGCTGGGAATTCTCTCAGAATATAGAGGCAATGAGTCAGCTTAAGAGCCTGGAACATACAGAGGAAAAGGAAGAAGAATGCTTAGAAGTTGTTATGGAATCCCCGTATGCCCTAAAGCGTTGTAACCATGGTGTCCATTCAGAGTCTTTGAAAACCAGGAGGGTTAGAGCAAAATAGAAGATCTGAAGTTGACCAGGACAGGCACCCCATGACTAGGGCTGAGGGGAGGTCATCTTCAGTATCATTGTGTCCACCAGCACTGCTCAGAACCATTTGTTCTCTTCAAGACAATTGTAGACACTGGATAGTCCCTTTTTCCACTGAAATCTGTATATCTAAATCTGTATATCTAAAAATGAAATAAAATCTGTATACCTAAAAATTAAGCATTTCATAAGGAAAAACCATTGGGTAATAGGAAGATTTGGTACAAAATAACCCTTGGAATTTGAGCTGTGTAGACCTGGCATGAAGTAATTAGTTGGCTATTTTCTTTTTTTATTATATCAGCCTCAGAAGTAGAAATCACATCACTCCCACTCCTGGGTTTTCACTGAGCAGCACTTTGTTCTTCCAGTTCAGCCCAAAGTCTGGCCAAGTTGACGTTAAATTTTAATAAGAGTTTCTTTCTTCTTTCCAAATGCCAGTCAAGCACATTTGTAATACATCTGGGTGGGGTAGCTTGTTCTTTTCCAGAAATCTCAGCCTAGATTGCTTGTAATGTTACAAATGCTGTTTAAAATAATTGCTGTAGTTCAGTAATCAGCTCACTGTCCCTCTTTGGGAAGGTATCATCATGCCCAGAGTTAAACCAAATGCAATAAGGAAAGACATAGTTCTTATGCTCATCTGCCTCCTGGTCCTAAAGGGGAGCTGTCTTATCCTCATGTTTTTCAGAAAGCTCATCAGAGCAGCTTACATTGATCCAGATATTAACTAGTGAAAGAAAAACCGTATGGGTTCAAATGTGTTACCAATTGTGACACATCTTACAATGCTATATGAATGGCAATCCAAACAGACAGGAAGAAATAGGAATAGATGTTTCGGAATGGGAAACACTAACACAGCTCAATACTTGAAATAATTAGAAGGTGAGACAGTAAAAAAACGTTTTTAAATTCACTGGTATAATTTGATGGGCATCAAAACCACCTCATGTTTCCTGTCACTTTAAAGAGGACAGTACTCCAGTGCTCATGCTGTGCTCTGTTAGGGTCACTGCAAGATTGATAACTGACAGAATTGTTTAGTTGGCTCTTCCTAAGCACTTAGTTCATTTGGTTACAGCTAAGTGATATTAATGCCAATGTTACATGGGCCAGATCCTGACTCTGGAGTTTTAATCCCAATGTGCCCATTAGATTTCACTAAATATAAATATGTAGACACGTTGAACCAGGCAGGTTAAAAGAGCAAAAGACCAAAATCCCTAAAAACAGTTCATTGTTCTATGGTAGACCTTTTAAAGTAGACCTCATCATAATGCCATTTTTGGTTTGGGGTTTTTTGTTCGTTTGTTTTTTGTTTTTGTTTTTGGGTTTTTTTTTTGGTTTGGGTTTTTTTTTTTTTTGTCTTTTCAAGTTCAGGAAGACATTTTACATCTCACATCACTCTTGGCTCCATTTTAACATCAGAGTGAGAGGATTTTTCCATCTCCCAACACCATTTCATCTGTCGCTTTCACAAGAACTCAGAATACTGAAGAAACAGGCTTGTTTCCCAGAACCAGAGGGCTTAGAGATCAGGCTTATCCTGTTGCCAGGCAGGACATCCTGGAACTGATCCAAAAGACCACCTTTCCCTTTTCTTAAAAAATCTCTGAAGAAAGCCCCAAGCCCTGCCATAGTGGTTAACCACAATTCTCATACCTTATAAATTCTTTCTGCACAGCCTATCTCCCTCCTGTTTGAAAAATGAGACTCTGGATGTGGGTAAAGCTTCTATCCCAGTTTTCAGCTTGTAGTAAGCACTCAGTATATGGCAGCTTTTACTGTTGCTTTTGTTTGTTGTGCCCTTGACCTGTAGTTCCAGCATAGAGAAACTCAGCCTCTAGCTGATCATTCACAATCTCTTTTTGTTTTTAAAGACAGTTTCAAAAATCAAATCTATATGACCACTGTCGCGACCAAAAGAGTCGGCGGGTCCCCTGAGTCCTGATTCGAAAGGCAGTAGTGTAAGTAACCAGAACTCCGGGGCTGTGCGGTCAAGAGCAGTGAAACACGCAGACAGGACTATTGCATCCCCCTTTCTGGTTCAGCTCAGATACAAACCCCTGGCTTGTGCATTGCCCTTGCTTTATTGGTTCTAGGCTAAGTGCATCCTTTTGTCTGGGATCCTCACACCAGAATTCACCCTCAGCTATTGGAATAAATTCCACCATTAAGCCCTCAAGGCCATCTATGTATGATACCAACACAAATGACCAAGTCAGTTGCAGAGGAGAAAAAAGCCCACAAACATTTAGTGACCAGCTTAATGCCAGTCCCTCAACCAGTTTTCATTGGTTGTTCTGAGAGTCATGTGCAGACATTTAAACCAGGGGATAGAGAGCTAAAATGAGGTATCAAGAATTCCCCACACACCCAGAAATCTTTCCCATATTTGATTATTAAGACATTTACAGTTCCTCTGCCTTTGCTTCTGCGTCTCAAGTGTCCTTGACCATTGAAAAGTGCTATGAGTGCGGTACCATTTGCCTGTGACCTTGATGTCGGGCGCGTGACCATGGGGCTGCCAGCCAGGACGTGTAAGGGGAGAGGTTCCTCCAGCCTCCTTGTGCCCGGGGCCTCCAGTTATCTACGAATGTGAGTGCCATGATTAACCTAATTTGGTGGGGAAGCTAAGGAAGGGAAGAGCATTTCCTCTGACTTTGGGCTACACAGTAGTTATTAGACACTCTCAGACGGCAAAGAAAGGTTGACCTGAGGCCAGAGGAAGCAGGGACGAATTGTAGAACCATAGGATACCACAAATGGAAGAGCCTTTCAGCTTCTCTAGTCCTAATCCTTGATGCTACAAAGGAGATGCTACAAAGGAGGAACAGAGAGGCTAAGTGATTTTCCCAACATGGCATAATCAGTAGAAAAAGTATGACTCCTCATCTCCTCCTCATCAGCATTAAATGAAGATGGGCCCAAAAAGAAAGTATTTTAGTCTGGGGTCCCCATGGCACAGAAAATAAGTCCAGACTGTAAAGGAGGAAAATTTATTCTCTTCCCCGCCCCCCAAAAATATTTATTTGTCAATGTAAAACAGTAAAGGAGATGATTGCCTAGGCATACAACAGTCCATTGGTAATAACCTACATTCTCCCCTGAAATGAGAGAAAACCCACTTGGTAAATCATGATTCTGGTAAATCACAATTTAGTTACTAACAGTTCACCTTTGACAGCTGGAATCTTATCCAGTAATTCAGTATTCACCTTATAAAACATTGTTTTAGCAATATGTATGCACAACTTAAAATTGAATACTGAGAATAGTTATGTACTTCTTTTTAAATTTTTTATTCAGTTTATTTAACCTAAAAAAAAAAAAACCCACTTGTTGTGTTGCTCCATTTGTCTTATTTTCAGCTGGGGCCTGTTAAGGTAAGGAATACCTTTTGTCAATGCCTTCCACATTGTAAGTAATTTCAACAGCAGACTTTGCATTACTGCATTAGTTCAATATGCTGAGAAGATGTGCAAATAATAACGAATAATGTTGAGCTGAGTCTTCATGTGCAAAATAACAGACCAAACGATTTTCTGTATAAATCTGGATCCTTAAGTCCTTTTCCTCTAATTGTTTAAATGTGCCAGGCAAAAGTATCTGTTAAGCCTCTACTTCTCCCTGAATATGCAGAACTGTCCTTTTGCTTACAAAGATTGCTGGGACTGTGCATATGTGGCTGAAAAACCCAGATGGAGCAGCACAGGTGCCAGAGACCCCCCTGGGCCACCTGGCTGACCTCTCTGGGCTCTGTGGCCCGATTAATCAAGGCCACGGATGAACTGACACCAAGGACCAAAATGACTAAATATGCCTCTCTCACACTCTGATTGCTTTGCCACATAGATATAACATTTGAAATGGGAAACATTTTAGAATGTAATTATTGTATTACACAGTATTTCCTAAAATTTGTTTTTATTGTGTTGACTTATTATTGAAGATATGTGTTTTAATAGATGCTCTTTTCCCTCAATGAAGCCCATTCTCATGTTGTTAATTACAGTGGAATCACAGTGAAGAGCCTGTCACAGAAAAACTGACTCCAATCTAAGATTACAATGGGGTGATGGGGTTAGGACCTGGATTATGCTGCTGATCCACCAGCAAACAAAGCTGTATGACATGAGGAGCTCTTTAAAACACAACTCTTGCGCCCCACCCCAGACCTTTGACTCAGAATGTCTTGGGATAAGCTAAGCTTACAAAGATTCCCAGGTGATTCTGATGTTGCCAGCATTTGGAAACAAATAATGTATAGCAAAGTCATATATACCATTTTGACCAAAGTAGCTGAATGCTTATCACTCCTCATGCAATTAGTATCACATCTG